TTGAAAAGAAACACAAAAGAGAATTAAAATAACATATTAAAACGAAAGTATAATGGGACTAATAATATTAACACGACAATAAATCACGCTACAGGTAAATCGCAGACTGAAAATGCAACACCAATCTGTTTGTTATTTAAAGAAAACACGAACAGACGTAGAAACAAGCCTAACGCCGGCCATATTGTATGCAAAGCGAAATTTATACAGTGATTTCTCCTTTAAACCATCAAGAGCAATAAGTATAAATCTTTAACATTACCATAAACGCTGTTACTATTATGTTTAGATACCCACCACGAGTTTATTTATAAACGCATCCTTCTTAAATATTGCACCTTTAAATTATTGCTTGCAATTTGAAATTGTCTCGCGGCACGGCGCGGGCGCATGGGCCATACGAGGTTGCGCCGGAGTCGAGTTCTCTCTAAAATGTTATTTAATATGTCGACAAGTGCTAGTGTAAATTGTATTGAAATTCATGAGCAGGCTGTATGATCAGTGGTTATGAAAACGGAGATGATATGGATGGATGTTGACCTGTGTTGTGTCTTGAAGAAAGTTGCGCATGGGCATTGTCTGGTTAAAACTTGTTTGTTTGACATACCAGTACCTGGCTTTCGATGTAGATAAGATAGTTCTTACTTGATTGAGAAGTAGTGTAGATAACACACGATGCCATAAGCATTTAATTTTTGCATTTCACTTCGCTTATTTTCTATCTTCATATCTAAATATGGGGACTTTTAGTTTGAATTTGATTGTTATCACGTATCAAATTTTCGGTTAATGAGGTCCTTATTTTCACAACTCCTAAGCCTAAAGGTTCTTTCCATTTCTTTCTATTCCTGAATACCCTGTAGTATTTCACAGTTTCTACATGTTTTAGATAACTAGTAAAACCTTAAGGTAATTTCTGCCTGCCCCTTCGAGGGCAAACAGTCTTGCTGTTATGAGTTTTATAAGCAATAAACATTTGTACAATCTATCTTCATACACAATAGTCTATCAAAGTGGACTTGCGAAGATGTCCGAATCGAATGTTTCCAATAATGCTACGGCATCTTACAATATTTGTAGTGAATCATTCGAAATATCGATTTATATTATCCGATACATCGATTTTGTACGACTTGTACAATGGTAGCACAAACTACTTACTTTTTATTGTTACAAAATTTCGAATTGATGTAATAGTATTGTTTCCTTAACTTAGGAATACTTACCTATGACGATGACTTTACTTGTGTCGATTTATTTTTTTCAATTTTGCGATAAAATAACAATCAACAAAAAATCATAATCATGGAGTAAATTACCCAAAGCCAGATTCAGAGATTAGAAAACAATTCGTTTCTATCAATTATTGCTTATAGATACAAATCAGAACAACCTTATAATCTAGATTAAAATAAATTAGTGTTGTCGCCAAGCTTAAAAATTGTAGATTAAACCATCGATTTTATCGACTCTGCGGCATAATAATGCATGTTGAGGATTGATTTAAAATCACCTTGAGTTAAAGGCCATGTCGATAAAATATGTATGGGACTACGATTGTTGGCGACATCGAGCGAACGTCAGTGATTGGCGCTTATTGTATTACTATTGTATATAAGCGAAGCGATCGTAAATGTTTAGCAACATCTAATGTGTGCGATCGATTTGTTTACTCGATTGTAATTTTATCGATATCGATAAAAGTTGTGTTTTACTTTTTGATTTTGTGACAGCATTATAAGGTGTTAGGATTGGTTTCGTATATTAGTTGATGATATCAAAAGAGCTAAATTAATTTCATAGAGTATCACTCTGTGATGAAAGTTTCTTCAATCATATTATGATTCAACTTTAAAAGCTATCGCATCTTATTATTCAGGTACTGGTTTCCTATTTTCAAATCTCATAATATTTATTCATCGATGTTGTCACTCGACATAAAAAATATCGATATGGATCTGTTCAGAATAATGTCAGCCTCCACTGCACTATTTATGATCTTCATTGTAATCGTAATTGTATTGTTTCGCAACTATAAAATCGTATGTTTTATGTTATTTATAACTTTGTCCCATTTTATTTAAAAATTACAACATTTAATAAACATGTCGATTGTAATAAAATTTAAAGCAAACTATACAACCAGGAAACTTGTGATTTGCGTATGAATATACACTATAAACACGTTACAACATTTTTGTGTGAACTTTTGGAACCGACTTATCACATAATAGACCTAAAATATTATAAAAAAATAATTCCTTTTTAGACCTCCGTGGCTACACGGTACAATGATAATGTTTTCAAAATATTTATTTATTTATTCAAGCGGAAGGGGAGACTCGTTAATTGGCACATCACAATAGAGATTACAGAGATTAGCCGGTTAGTTTTGTGATTCAAATATGGCCGCCGGTGGGCGACACTATCCCGGGCCCTGTTATGATAATATTCCCGTCATTTCATACAATAATTTGTACAGGAATTGTTCGAGTGGACGTTGTAATACCCTTATAACACTGTCAACGTCTGTTTTGCGATAATTGGAATGCATAATGTAGTGTCTAACCCATGAGAGTTACGACTCTAATACTTTTTGACCTTATAGATTTACTTGGATAGTTAAGACTTGATTCTTTGATGTTTTAGTATGTGCTCTAGTATTAATAAAACTAGGCAAGATGGCCATAATCGATTTAGTATTCCGTGTCTAAAACTGTAAATGTATTTATGTATCGTTAGACACGTGTTACCCAGGTGTTGTTACATTAGTCGTGTCGGTGTCAATAGACGATCATAAGCGTTTGCGCGAGCGAGGGCTTGACTCTTAATAGCGGCAACAGGCGATCGGCTCTCGCATCAATCTTCTCGATCGTCACTGTCGACTCGGACTCGCCCCCCGCGATTAATCACCAGCCAGAACGTTTTCGATTAGCGCCGGATAGCACACACGGAATAAAAAAGCACGTTCCATTTATGAACGTTCAACGTACACCATTTGTTTTAGCGTTTGGTCCCGGTCAGATGTGTCCCGCTCTCGAAGGGTTAATAGGAATACGCAGTGGTATTTTTTTGCAAGAATAGAGTGCCTATCTTTAATGAGAATGTACAAAGGTGTTAGACGGAAACAGGAAGTGTCAAATGGCGTTTCGTTGTCTCTCCACGGCCCAGTTCTTCGTAGCGCTAAGTGCGTCGATGTAATTGCCCGGGCAATGCAAATAGCTCGGTGTTTGATCGCGTGTACCGCCGGCGCCGACATGTATTCGAGCTATGGGACACTTTTGCTCGCTCTTCAATGTAAACCGGACGAGTTGCGCGTGATTGTTTAACGGGTTTCCCATTGTTTGACTATGATGTCAGGATCACGCTTTCGCGTTTGTCATATGGCGTTATTACGTTGATAATTGGTCAATACACGAGATTAGAATCGGATATTCCGTGTAACGTGGCACGATAAAATTGAATGTACAAATAAACTAGACTGTGTCAATGACTCTCCTACCTCTTATCAAAAGTCAAATCACGAAAAAATACTGAAAACTATTTTCAAATTTCCGAGTCATTTAATAATAGAAACAAAAGATGATCCAATGAGCAGCAGAGCTTATCATAAATACACAATCAACAAAACAAAACCAGTAGGTATATTTATAATTACATCTACATCTGACCAATCAAGCGCGTCGCATTATCTGCGGTAGTTTGTGATACGACCATATTATCAGCGTTTAAATTACGAGTGCATTTAAATGGCGGATATCGGGGTAATTATATGGAAGACACGCCTTCTACAGCGTTGGTTATCCTTATCTGGAACCCCTGGGTTCCTGTGTAATTAAATAAAAAAACATGATTGCGAATGTCAAACGATATAGCGAAATGACTGAGTAATCTTTTCATTAATATTCATTGAAAGACTTGACAGTTTTACTCTTACAAATATTTATTAATACGCACTTGTACAAGTTTAGCGTCCGTGTGTCTGTAATAGGTATCAATTGAGCAGTTTCCATCGAAGTTCTCGTGCAAAACATGAAAAGACTTATTTATCTTCTGTATTTTAGATCCTCGAACTAAATAGTTTGACGAATGATTGCTATTTAATTTTTAATGGTATCTGGACTGATTAATATGTAATATTAAGTGTACTTGAGTAATTCAAGCATATTATGCTAGTTTCTTACACCTAATACCCAAAATAATGGGTCGTAAAAAGGTGGATTTCAACTGTTCATTTCCCAGAGACCATGAATTTCCAACTAATAGAGTATATTACTATTTCCTCGGAATAAAAAAGGGGGTTTTGTATAAAGTCACGAACAAATACTACTTCAAACATTGTCAACAGCTTCTTATAAGTAGAATAACAGAAAATGGTCTTTAATTACCTCAATTTAATAGTCAGTTGAGCACGCATTATAGTATGAGAATCGAGTAAAATGTAATGCAGTTTCGATGTTTTGTATAAAGGTATATCTAAGTATGCGGGCACACGTGGTCTCCTCGCATCGATGAACATTCTTAACTTCCTATAGGATATAGGAATATTAATAACTTCATTAATACTGGTTTTATTACAAAATACTGCACTTTTTTCCTATAGTTTTAGTTGTACCCGCGTCTGTTTATTATTAATTATATTGTGGGTTATCTTGTTTGTTTATATTTAGCGAGGACAGTGACGTCTCGATTGTCAGATCTATTGTATTCTTTCTTCTTAGTTTTAACCTTCTTTTAATCTTATTCGATAGTGTCCTGTCTTATCTAGAATCAAGGTAATCAATTCCGTATTGAGTCTTTAATCAATTAGGCTGCCAGGAATAAAATAAATAAAATACCAGAAAAAACTGCTTTTCTGTAAGTTTTAATCAAAATACTAAATAAAAATTGGGAGTTTGAGACCTCATTACTATAACATCTTTAATTTATAAATTATCATCATCTATCATGTTTATATCAAGAGATCATGAGTGTTAATGTTATTTTTTCTTTGTTTTCAGTTGTATGAGATAAGCGATGATCCACAAAGGAAGGAATTCCTGGATGACCTCTTCTCTTTCATGCAAAAGCGAGGTAAGTGCACTTCCCACATCATTCATTTCTAAGGCTGCGGCTTTAGATATAGCGGGAGCGATTTAGGATATAAAAACTATTGCCTGTAATACATTTCCACTAAAGCCGTTTTCGATACAGTTTTTTTACGAAGTAAAACTTACGAGACTGGTTTAGAAAAACTGTAGTTAATACAATAGACATATAATGACAGAAAGTTCTGTACCTAAGTAATTGTAATCTACATATATATATATATATATATATATATATACATATATATATATATATATATACATATATATATATATATATAAAAGAAAGTCGTGTTAGTTACACCACTTATAACTCAAGAACGGCAGAATAGATTTGGCTGAAAATTGGTAGGGAGATAGCTTAGAGCCAGGAGACCGACATAGGATACTTTTTAACCAATACTTTTTTTTACTTTTTACCGAAAATTACGAACGGGGGCGGGAAAAAATGGATTACGCGTACGAAGTCGCGGGCAGAAGCTAGTATCTAATAAGATGATATTATTATTTTAAGTAATACATAAAAAAATCTAATTGAAAGATTACTTTTCAATCTTTAAATTTTGCATTTTGAAACAATAAACTGTTATTTCTTCGTATAAAAAAATCAATGTAGGCCATTCCGCTACATCTTCATCTATAACCATACCCTAATATAATTTTGATTAATCCTTTGTACCGATTGATATTCATTGTAATTTATCAACTCTAAATGCTTCATTCACGATCATTGATACCAATACAACAGCATAGTAAGATATTTCTTTTGGAACAATTAATTTGGAAACAGGGGTCAAGTTATTATGGTTGTTAGATACAAATCGGATATCAGTCATTGGTCGTATAAATGGTTTTATTGTGGAGATCTGTGATCAAGGGATAAGATCATGGGTGATGGACGAGCAACTGATCGTGGAACTAGGAGATATTGATGGAAGCCTGTTATAAGATATGAACGATTTCAATTTGAGAGAAGATGTAATGAAATCAGTTTATGATTTAGCTTTTAATAAATCGAGTTTTCTAGTAATTCTGGGTAGGTATACCCTTGACACATTAAACGCCATGGGGGACACCGATGACCGATGCTAGCGAAGGTTTTACCTTGAACAGTTTTCTAATGGCAGTCAAAGGCTTAAAGAGGTTTCAGTGCGTTGTAGTGGGTTGATATTAACCAGACATGTATTTATTTTATTTATTTATTTAAACTTTAATATACACAGAAACAAGTAATAGTACATAAGGCGGACATTAATGCCATATGGCATTCTCTCCCAGTCGACCTTAGGGTTGAATTGTCGTCGCGGAGAACCTAATTGTCGCAGAGAACCTAATGGGTAACCGGGGCTCCGACTCGACGTGCAGGAGAAGGAACGGGGTGGTTTTTAGTCAGTAAGAGTCTGACACTGAGACGGGAGCAGTCATTCGATGATTTTCCCCCCTTAAAAGAAAAAAAAGGGTTAAATTATATATATGTATATTATATACATGTAATAAACACTTTGATAATCAATGAAAAACCCGTTCTACCAATATCTTGACAAAGTCTATGAAATTGACACCATGTTTTCTGTAGTCAACGAATTTAAAAAGAAACCTTTAAACTATCTATTTTTATGTCTTTTCTTTGAATGTGAACCTCCAGGTCAAACAGTCAAGTAATAACTTCTACTTAATAAAAACATAATCAACATTAATTTTCATAACCATCACATAACTACTGATCCATATTGATCAAATTTATTACTCTCTTTACACATAAAAACTGTGGGAATTCGCCAAACGATACTTATCCGAAGATAGTCATTATATTTAAAATATCATAATAGAAATAATTAAGCAGGAGATCGCTCGATCGCTTGAGGCGTCGAGATCGTGCGCGGGCGCGTGATTGATAACTCGACACCTGTCTCTTTCTACCCCACGCGTTTCTCTATCTCTATCTCTCTCTAGCATTAATTGATCTTTGTTGTAAATGGCGCCGATTGTCGCTAGATAGATCATGTTGATATCTTACCGCCCAGTTGTTAGTCAAATCAATGGTTTATTGTTGCAATTGCAGCTTTAAGCTTACCTTATATAGGATTCATTATTAATTGTATGTGTTTTAAAGTGATTAACAATCGTAATTGGGTATCTTATTGTTTAACTTGATTTCCTTGCGGTATTGTGATTTGAATTAGTATTGTTTGTTGGTTGCAGTATTTATTCTTTGGTAGAAGGGTAGCTTTCGCTTACGTGCGACAAATTAAATAATTAAGCAGATGCAAATGTCAGCTGTAGCTAATTATTGCACCTTTGAACAAGTTTCATATATATTAATCATATATCTGTATTTTTAATATTATATGTAATTGGTTAAGTTGAAATTAATAGATATTAATAATAATTGCTTATAACCAGAATTACAAAAGTTTTGTTATTCATATGGTTAAAAAAAACTACAATTAGCACTACATTTGTTACTTATTAAAACCAGTAAACTATGTGTCGAAATAAGTTGTCCTTTCCGAAGTAAAACTCCTTACATTCTCAACATAAGCCTACCAAAATATAAATTCGATTATTCTCAACAACCTTGCACCTTTTCTTCACAATTCTTGTTGATAACTACAGGGTTGGTCCACATAAAAAGCAGATAACTTCATCAGGGGTTAGTATCGGGGGCGGCAACATTCCCTCCATAGTTTGTTAGCCCCTGTGTCTAATTGAAACGGAGTGGTGACTGCACCTCACACCGATACGTCTTAGAACTTAAACAACAAATTAAACTTGACATTTAAAAACCTGTCATAATTGTTACACTAGGATCTAGTAATAATGGTTGTTAATATTTTTTCTTTGCTATTTATATGTTGAGATCTTTAGATTTGATCGGTGCAATAATTTGCTACAAATGTTCTACGCCCCGTAAAACACACGCATTATGTTTACAATTTTGTTAGAACTACTTTCTATAACGATAGTTTCACGTCATATATTTTTTATGCAGCTGTAAAGTTTTAGTGCCAATTGAAGGATGTTACTAGGATAAAATTGTAATACAAATTGTGGCGTAGCGCGTAATCTTGCGTAGCCATGGCGTAGCGCGTAGACAAGCTACAAATCGATCAGTTTATTTTTATTCGAAGTGTTGAATGCGGAATTAATGTAAGGTTTTATGTTACGCGTCGGTGTAACAGGTAGCCAGCGCACACGTTGAGAGTATCACTGCGTGCGATCAGAGAGCGCCCTTATCTTGTTCAGAATAAATTATTATTCAATTTATCATTCCGGTGAACCGGCCAATAAACTTCTGGTTATTATTACGCGAACAGATAACGCAGGAAACTAATCGCATAAGACTGATTACGATTTGTTGGCTAGGCTAGTTGGAATCAGTGTTAATACTTTGATCAAATATATTCATACAATAAATATTTTATTCAACCGCTACAAATTGTTCCGCCGGAGGAAACAACGTTTAATGATTAGAATTAATTTATTCGACGTGGGTTAGCATGTGCGAGCCATCAAACGGACTGATCTCCTCGTATTAATAATGTTTTATCATTTATTATTGCTTGTGAGTAATGAAAGTTAGTCGGCCACGCCCCGCGCCTTCTCCGCACTCTGTCTTCGTCTCGGTTCAAAAAAACAAATTATTATTTTATTTTTTATTTTATCGAGTCGTCGACTAATGTTTGATGCGAGCGACACGCGTTTAGTTATCAAATAAATGTAAATCAACAATGTTGCTGTAACACGCGTGACGAACTGGGTGTTCCAGTTTGTTAATCGATTACTTTTTATCGATTGCAATACGATGAACGTTTTTGATTGAAGGAAAATTACTCGATAATTTGACAGCGATTGATGTCTAATTTGTTATCGATGATTTAAAATGTAATTCGACTCGGTTAATTTGTTCTTATTTAGCTTACAATGCAACGGACATAGAATTGTAACAAGCCTGTCAATGTATGAATTAGTATTTTTTTTATATACATACAGGCTGTATAAAAATCGTGATTAATTTAGTATCTTGTTCTATTTGTCTATTTTATCGCTTAATTATGATAGAAGATATGGCTGGTGTTGTGACCACGTGACCGGCTCGTTAGCACCTGATTGATCGGCTGGCGGCCGCTCCTTGCCGATACTTACCTACAGGATGATCTTAAAAATGCATTACCTTTTTTCTGAAGTTTTAGATACAGTACAATAAAAGCAATTAGGTCATTCCACTTAATATCTACGTCAAAGTGTTCAGTAAAACAATTAATGTTAAAAATGTTACTTCAATCACGATTCATATGTTTTCATATCAAATGTGTCACATTTAATGTACCGGAATACAAGATTATTTATTAGATTACATAGTTCTACATAGAAACAGACATTTAACATATAAAAGGCGTGTTATCGCGATTTAGATTTATAGATATACCACTAATTGCTATATAAAAAGCATTAATTTGTTCCTGTCTGTAAAAATAATATACGACATCTTAGTACATTATATTGCTCAAATATTTATGTGTCTGATTACACAATGCAATTTAAATACTAAAATCTAATCTCCGTTTAACAATCACCATGTAAAACCGGGCTATTGTTTCACTTGGTAATAGCGAGTGTGGTATAACTAATAACATCTCATTCAGAATCATTTCCCGTGATTAATTATCTGTTTAATCGATATAAGATGTTGTGCCAACAGCCTTCTCGGGTTTCTACATTTTTATACCCTTCGAATTTGAACCATAGTCAACCGAAGATAGGGTGTTGTTTAGCTTGGTTGGCATTAGATTATAGATTACGTTAAAGAGTTGATCTATCAAATTTTTTTCGTCTCATTGAAGATAGCTTTTGTTGGAGGTTTAATTGGTGTCTTAAACATGCAAGCGGTTAATTCGATTTCAAGTTTGGGCTTAGCTCATTTGTTTTTGTCCGTTTAAAACTGAGTTTAGACGAATGTTAATCTAAAGTTGATTGATTAGAGAC